AGTGCCATCGCCCCGCCAACCTGGAAGCAGCCGTCGTCCTCGCGGAGGACCACCTCTCGCTTCCCCGGCGGAGCATGAAAGAGGAGCCCCGACCACCAGCCGTTTCAGCGGCCCGACCCGTCCCAGCCCCGAGGAGGAGGTTTCCGGGAGCAGCTGCCCTTCCCTCCCCACCACCACACGGCCCCAACCCCGCAGCCCCAACACTTTTCCCCCAAGCCCTACCTTACCCTCCTGTGTTTATCTCTCCCCAGGGTCCGGCCTATGCTTCTGGTCGTCCGGCAACACGGGGGGCTCCTCAGACGTCAGGGCAGGATTGCTGGCGGTGCGGGCAGCCCGGCCACTTCCGACGGGAGTGTCCTCTCATGGAGGTCGGACAGCTGGTTCGGGTTGCGGGACCGCCAGTTGCCTCTCCCGATTTGGAAGGGACGTACCGTATACCGGTATGTATACAGGGGGGTACACACCAGGCTCTGATGGACACGGGCTGTAATCAGACGATGATCCATCAGCGCTTGGTTCGGCCTGGGGCATTGATTGAAGCATCGTGGGTGAAGGTGAGGTGTGTGCATGGGGATATTCACCAGTACCCGGAGGTGACGCTGTAAATTTCTTATAAGGGGAAAAAGCATAGAGTCAGGGCTGGAGTTAGCACTCGCCTTACGCACCCCCTGATTTTGGGAACGAATTGGCCGGGGTTTGCTAAGCTAGCGGGGGCTATGGGGGTGCGTTCACGGACGGCAGGGAAATGTGAGTTGTGTGCGGTGTTTAGTGGAGAGTCGGAGGCGGCTGCCGACGTCGAGGGGGGAAACTGACACGGAGGGGGCCGCGGAGGCCCCTCTGGACCCGCTGGTGTTTCCCGTGGAGGATTTCCCCCTCGAACAGTCGAGGGACGAGACCCTTCAGCACGCCTTCGGCCAGGTGGTGAGTATTGATGGCTCCCAGCTACACCCAAACGCAGCACTCACTCACCCACACTTTACGGTGGTTAGGGACAGGCTGTATCGTGTAAGCCGTGACACACAGACAGGAGAGATAAATACCCAGTTGTTGGTGCCAAAAAGCCGTCGGGAAATGGTTTTCCAGGCGGCTCATTATAACCCCATGTCAGGTCACCTAGGGTACGACAAATCACTACACCGGATAATGGCCCGATTTTATTGGCCGGGCATTCGCGCAGATGTGAAGCGGTGGTGTGCATCTTGCCGTGAATGTCAGCTGGTTAACCCGCCGGCCATCCCCAGAGCGCCTTTGCGCCCGTTACCATTGATTGAGGTGCCTTTTGAGAGAGTTGGTATGGACCTCATCGGGCCATTAGACCAGAGTGCACGGGGATATCGCTTTGTACTAGTCCTAGTGGATTATGCAACGCGATATCCCGAAGCAGTGCCGCTGCGTAATATCTCTGCAAAGAGCGTCGCGCAGGCACTGTTTCACATTATCTCCCGAGTCGGGATCCCGAAAGAGATCCTGACTGACCAGGGCACACAGTTTATGTCACGCACACTACGCGAGCTGTATGAACTACTGGGCGTCCATTCAATACGGACTAGTGTTTACCATCCGCAGACCGACGGCCTAGTGGAACGGTTTAACAAAACACTAAAGAACATGGTTCGTAAGTTCGTTCACGAAGATAGTCGGAATTGGGATAAATGGCTAGATCCTCTGTTGTTTGCAGTGCGGGAGGTGCCCCAGTCCTCCACGGGATTTTCTCCCTTTGAGCTTTTATTTGGTAGGAAGCCCCGGGGTGTTTTGGACCTAGTTAAGGAAAACTGGGAGGAGGGTCCAAGCACCAGTAAAAACGAAATACAGTACGTTATGGACCTGCGAGCAAAACTCCACTCACTGGGGCAGATATCACGGGAGAATTTGCTCCAGGCTCAGGAACGTCAGCAGCACCTGTACAACAGAGGGTCGAAACTGAGACAATTTTCACCGGGAGATAAAGTGCTTGTATTACTCCCATCCTCTAGCTCTAAACTACTCGCCAAGTGGCAAGGACCCTTCGTGGTCACACGACGAGTGGGGGACGTAGATTATGAGGTGGTGCGTTCTGATAGGGGAGGAGCAACACAGATTTACCACCTTAACCTCCTGAAAGCATGGAGGGAGGTGGCGTCTGTTTCTCTGGCCACCACGGTGATTGAGAGAGATGAGTTGGGACCAGAGGTCATTAAAAGCGACAAATTAGCCCCGGTCTGTTGTGGCGACAATCTCTCACCGGGCCAGAGAGCAGACGTTGCTTCGTTGCAAAGGCAGTTTGCCGACGTGTTCTCTCCGCTGCCAGGGCGCACCTCTCTCATACACCACCGCATAGAAACGGCCCCGGGCGTGGCCATTCGTTCACGGCCCTATCGGCTGCCTGAACATAAGAGGAAAATTGTTCAGGCGGAGCTTCAGGCTATGCTAGAAATGGGAGTGATAGAAGAGTCCACCAGTGACTGGTGTTGCCCCGTCGTGCTGGTACGTAAGTCTGACGGGTCAATCCGGTTCTGTGTGGACTACCGCAGGGTGAACGAGGTGTCCAAATTCGATGCTTATCCAATGCCCCGGGTCGACGAACTCCTGGATCGGCTAGGCACCGCTCGCTTTTACACGACGCTGGATTTAACCAAGGGCTATTGGCAGATTCCCCTTTCTCCAGAGTCTAAGGAAAAAACGGCCTTCTCCACTCCGTATGGTTTATACCAATTCATCACACTTCCTTTCGGGTTGTTCGGCGCTCCAGCCACCTTCCAGCGGCTCATGGACCGGGTGCTGCGTCCCCACTCTGCATATGCTGCTGCTTACTTGGATGATGTCATCATTCACAGTGAGACATGGGAGCAGCATATGCAGCAGGTGGGGGCAGTGCTCGAGTCCCTGAGGCAGGCGGGGCTCACGGCCAACCCGAAGAAGTGTGCGGTTGGACGGAGGGAGGTACGGTATCTGGGGTACCACTTGGGCGGCGGGCAGGTGCGGCCACAGGTAGAGAAAACAACCGCCATTTCCGCCTGTCTGGCGCCCAAGACGAAAAAAGAGGTCAGGAGGTTCATGGGGCTGGCCGGTTACTACAGGCGGTTCATCCCGTCCTTTTCGGAGCTGACCAGTCCCCTGACCGACCTGACCCGAAAGGGTGCTTCAGATCCGGTCCAGTGGACGGAGCGGTGTCAGCTGGCGTGTTGAGAGGGTTAAAAAGCCCTCTGTGGTAAGCCGCTTCTGTATTCTCCTGACTTCTCTCTCCCTTTGGTGTTGCAGACCGATGCCTCGAACAGTGGGGTGGGGGCCGTTTTGTCCCAGCAAGTAGAGGGGGTCGACCGCCCCGTACTGTACATTAGCCGTAAGCTCGCCCAGAGGGAGGTGAACTACAGTACGGTGGAAAAGGAGTGCCTCGCCATACGGTGGGCGGTCGGCGCCCTGCGGTACTACCTCCTGGGGCGCCCTTTCACCCTCTGGTCGGACCATGCCCCGCTCCAGTGGCTCCACCGCATGAAGGATGCCAACGCTCGGATCACTCGGTGGTATCTGGCGTTACAGCCTTTCAACTTCAAGGTGATCCACAGGCCGGGTAACCGGATGGTCGTGGCTGATTTCCTCTCTCGCTCAGCGGAGGGGGGGGAGAGTCAGCTTGCGGCCGGCGGGATCCCGGCCTGAGTCGGGCGGTGGGGGTATGTGGCAGCGGGGTGGGGTTAGGGCGCCGGCTGCTGGAGTGAAGGGAGTGGCTCGGCCGGAGGCCAGACAGCTGATCGGAATCAGGTAATCAGTGCTGGAATAAAAGCATGTCGTAACCTGGTTCTGGTCTGTTTTGCAGTAGGCGGGATCCTGGAAGGGGGCAAAAGGACCTGTGAAGGTTGCCACGCGGGCAACGTTGAAGTAGTGGATACTTTTGTTTGGAGCTAATAAACGCCATATATGTTACACGAACCTGCTCTTCCGTCCATAATTTAACCCTGTGTGAGCGGAGAGCTCACAGTGTGATATCACAAGTAGGTGTGAGATCCTTCGATAGGAGGGGTTATGTGTATTCACACGTAGGTGTGCATTATGGTGTCTAATCAAAAAAGGTTGTGTTTGTGTATGTGTGTGTGTGTGTGTGTGTGTGTGACTGTCTTCCCCTAACCCCTGCTGTGGACCGGGGCTACATCAAATCTTATTTTAGCCCCTAAAGAAAAGCCCCCCATAAACATAATTAAAAAATAGTATTGATGTATGTTACCACTTTCCTTCTTCATCAGACAGCCCTTTCTAACGAGAATCTAAGCTAACATCTTCTATCGTTTCAAAGCCTCCTTCCTTCTGTGGTGATGCATGTATAGACGGCGTGTGTGATATGTCTACCCCCCCCTACCACCCACCTCTCTACTATATTAAAAGTCACCATACAAACTTTATTGTCCTATCTAAATTAGATTTGTGTTAATTAGTCTACTAGCTATGAGGGAGTCTCTGTCTACATTGCAAGGATTAGACCGATTGGTTGTAATATTTTGAGCCATTGACCTAGCTAAGGGTTTATAAGGAGATCTAATTTCTACAGCAAGAGAAAGGTGATGATGAACCATCCTGGCATTTCTTCTCTGTTTTCCCGACCTGGATCTGATCCTGAAAAACTATGGTAAGTACTTCATATAATTATTAAATGTTGTGTGTTAAACAACCTCTGTGTATATATTGTATTTATTGTGTATTAGCACTATGATTCATAATGGTTTTTAAATTTTGGGGAGACTGTTAACTAATGTTGAAGTACTTTAGTTTATAAAGGGATGGAGTCTCACACAGTGTCTGTGAAGGTGTGTGTGTGTGTGTGTGTGTGTGTGTGTGTGTGTGTGTGACTGTGTGATCCTGTCCTCCTCCCCCTTCCTGCCATCTTATCAGTAGAGAGAGGGGGGATGGAATTTAAAAACAGTTACCTTACACTTGTATTGTTCTCTCTAAAACACAGTGTCAGTAAAGTTGGGGGAGACTGTCTCCCCCCTTCCTGCCATCTCTCTGTTTTTTGCTGTAATGCCAGTAGACAGAGTGGTGGAATTAGTTTAAAACAGTCACCTTACACTTTAGTTGTCCTCTCTAAATTAGATTTAAGGTTTTTAAAATGATTAGTGTTAATTAAGCGCTATTGTTATTTTAGCGCTTAAAATAACAATAGATATAAGGGGATAGGAGTTCAACTTTAAAAATGCGCAGGATCATTCTAAGAAGAGTGAGAGGGCTAATGAGCCAGCACCATACTTCCTCTCTGCGTTTTCTTGACCTGGATCTGATCTTGAAAAACTCTAGTAAGTACTTTTTATTTTATAATATCATGTAATTAGTTAATGTTGCTTGGTGTGTGTTAAACAACCTCTGTGCATCTGTTGTATTTATTTTGTAACAGCACTATGGCTCGTAATGATTTAGAAGCTTTGGGAAAGTACCCCTCTATGTACAAATAATGTGGTGTAGATTTGTAATCAAATCTTTTTTGTGTGTGTCTCAGTTCAGGAAAGTCTGAACCAAATAAGAATTGGAATATTAGAGAGGATTAACTCTTTTGGTGGAACCGCATATGATTAATTCCCTGTGGAAAGTGAGTATATATGTATTTAAAACTGTATGTGTTTGTATCTAGCTTATTTTTAAAATCAAATATGTTTTTTGCTGATGTATAAAATATCCAAAATAACGTTTTATATACTTACTCTCTTGTTAAAAGGTGATGAAGTTTGCGGCGTAAGCCAGCCATCAGTGTACCATCACGACGACATATCTATACAGCGTGAAAACCTCCCCTCTCTGGAGTTTACATACAGCCTACCTTCTGCGACAAGTGCTGATCTAAGTTTGATCTTCAGTGATCCTCTCACTCAGAGAGCCAGACAGACTAGTCCCCCTGTAACACCCCCCTTCAACAGGTCTGATGCTAACCCCCAACACAACTAAGGAATTTGTTTTCTTTTAAGGGCCTAGGCAGATTTTGGCTTTTTTCTCTTGCCAAGATACTTTTAGACACACTTTGAGGTATGCAAAACCTTAAAACTAGAAAATGAAGTACATTGTCTGATTAGAATTTTTTCTCTAAAAGGCAAGTTTGTGATTTTAACACTTTTTACTGACACTCAACAGATTTGTGTGTAATTCTCTCACAAAGGAACAGTAAGTCTCTTACTTTTTTGGATACACTTTTATGTATGCAAAACCTTAAACATTTTTGAAAATAAAATACTTTGTCTGAATACATTTTCTTTAAAGGCACTTTTGATTTTAACGCTATTTCAATGGAGAAATCCAGTTTTGTTGACATCAATGCTTTATTCTCTTTTCTTGTGTTGCAAAACTTTATAACCTGGTAAAATATTCATTAATTTGTAAGGAATTCGATTTATTTTAATGGCCTAGGCAGATTTTGGCTTTTTTCTCTTGCCAAGATACTTTTAGACACACTTTGAGGTATGCAAAACCTTAAAACTAGAAAACGAAGTACATTGTCTGATTAGAATTTTTTCTCTAAAAGGCAAGTTTGTGATTTTAACACTTTTTACTGACACTCAACAGATTTGTGTGTAATTCTCTCACAAAGGAACAGTAAGTCTCTTACTTTTTGGATACACTTTTATGTATGCAAAACCTTAAACATTTTTGAAAATAAAATACTTTGTCTGAATACATTTTCTTTAAAGGCACTTTTGATTTTAACGCTATTTCAATGGAGCAATCCAGTTTTGTTGACATCAATGCTTTATTCTCTTTTCTTGTGTTGCAAAACTTTATAACTTGGTAAAATATTCATTAATTTGTAAGGAATTCGATTTATTTTAATGGCCTAGGCAGATTTTGGCTTTTTTCTCTTGCCAAGATACTTTTAGACACACTTTGAGGTATGCAAAACCTTAAAACTAGAAAATGAAGTACATTGTCTGATTAGAATTTTTTCTCTAAAAGGCAAGTTTGTGATTTTAACACTTTTTACTGACACTCAACAGATTTGTGTGTAATTCTCTCACAAAGGAACAGTAAGTCTCTTACTTTTTTGGATACACTTTTATGTATGCAAAACCTTAAACATTTTTGAAAATAAAATACTTTGAATACATTTTCTTTAAAGGCACTTTTGATTTTAACGCTATTTCAATGGAGCAATCCAGTTTTGTTGACATCAATGCTTTATTCTCTTTTCTTGTGTTGCAAAACTTTATAACCTGGTAAAATATTCATTAATTTGTAAGGAATTCGGTTTCTTTTAATGGCCTAGGCAGATTTTGGCTTTTTTCTCTTGCCAAGATACTTTTAGACACACTTTGAGGTATGTAAAACCTTAAAACTAGAAAATGAAGTACATTGTCTGATTAGATTTTTTCTTAAAGACTGTTTCTCTAAAAGACAAGTTTGTGATTTTAACACTGTTTCGATGAAACAATGCAGTCTTGATAACTTGACTTGACTAACATTACTTTTGTTTTTTAGATGCTTTACTTTGATTTCTTTCATGTTATTTTAACACAACATTACTTTTTTCATATTTTTTCAACAATACGGATGACATCAATGATTTTGTTCACTGTTTGCTTTGAGAGCAGAGTTAGTAAAGACCCCCTTCCTGCATCTCCAGCCTCATGCATCTTCTTGCTCTTCTTAATGCAGTCATTGACTTGTTCTTGAAGGGTGGTATCATATTTGCTCAGCAGCATAATAATTTCCAAGAAGTTCCCATGATTCAAGGCCACATTTTCAAGGCTATACGCTGCTTCATGACTACCACCCCTGTAGCTGAGTCCACGCTTACCAATTAATTTTATGACATTAACCACACGCTCCATAACTTGTCTTTTCTTCCTCACTTCCTCTCGGTGGGCTGACATTTGTTTGTCTCTCAGTAGGCTACTGATATCAGCTCTGCTTGCTCTCAGGAAATATGCATTTGCACTATCTCGATGCAACCCGCTTCTTTCATGCTCTTCAATTCTCTGGTGAACATGCTTCCATGCCTCCTTTCACAAAAGCATTGTCACTGGCAGGCCTGGCAAACATGAGACACAGCGAGCAATACAGAGAGTGCGATGATTCACAGTAAGTTAACCATTTCCTATTTGTCCCATCCTTGCTGTGGAATATTTTAGGAATGGCTTTCTTGGAAGTTTGTTGTGGGTGGTAAGAAAAAAATAAGTAAAAATCTTTTGGCTGAGGGCGAGCAAAATAATCGAAAGGCCTCTGTGTCAACTTCCTGTAGTTCCCTGTCTTTCTCCTCAATTGCAATTTCCCTGCTGGACCCTGAATCTTCACTTGTCCTTTCGACCTCCTCAGCGTCTGCTGGTACTGAATAAGAGCCAGCATAAGGATTAAACTGGTATCAACAACTATATGTAACAGTAACTTATTGAGAGAACATGAACATAGCTTGCTTATACTGTTGTCATTACATTTCCTTTGGTTGTGTTCAGTGTTTTCATAGTCATAGCCTATTGAAACAGTTTCCTCTGTACCTGCCAGTTCTGTCCTAGCACTGAGCTCTGCCTGCATCTCTCCCTCAGGGCCATCACCATCAGCGTCATCTGATAGTGTTACTGAATAAGGAGAACATGTAATCACATTAACAACTATTTATGAAATAACATTGTTCAAGAACATGTTTCAGGAATATTTTTGTCATCATTTATGTTGTTTTCAACTGTTCATAGTTTAAATCTCACTAATATCTATAACATGTTCCACTGTGGACTGTTTGCCCTGTACCTGCCAGTTCCTCTGTGCTGGTGCTTGGTTCTCCCTGTGAAGGACCGGCACTGCTATTATCTCCACCTTTGCAAAGGAAAAAAGAACGAGGAGCACAACTTATTTTCAATTGACACACGTGTCAGAGTACATTATAACTGTATAATGGCCTATTCAAGTTTACTTCACGTAGGCCAATGCCAATGTTGGTGGTTTTGAAGGAGATCCAGTACTATAGTTAATTATACAACACTTATTTTTATCACTTAGTTCAAGTTAGTTGACCCTGTATTTGCATGGCCTAATAACATACTTATTGTCTCCCCCTTTGTTGCACAGTTATTCACTCACAGTATTGGGTATGTAGCCCCAGTTAGCTGCACTCTAACGGTTATATTAGCCTATATATTTGCCTTGAGTAACATTAAGGACATGTTTGGGTTTTTTGTAGCCTCACAGTCTCAGTCACACAGGGTCTGCCACTAACATGACATTGGACTGAGAAACTGTTTTGTTGACAGTCAGTCGATGTGCACATCAGGCTACAATATAGAAAGAAATGTTGCTCATAATGTTGGCTAACTTACTTTCGGCTTCGTCATTCTGTACCATACGGGGGGTTCTGAATAAATCTGTGATTTTAGCACATTTAGCTGCCTCCTCCTCGCTGGCTTTTTTCTTTTTCTCCCTTTCCCTCTCTGCACCACCTTTCCTCATTTTTTTCGCAGGATGGGGGTCCATCCTTCTACAATAATTAAGCTTGCCATCGGCGTCAGTTCAGTCGGTCCAGTCCACACTAATTCAAACGGCAGCGCGCCCGCTGGTCTCGTGAGAAACGTCACTGTGACCGAGCGGGTCACAGAGTGACTGACTCCGCCACTGACAGCCGACACACACACACACACACACACACACACACACCAAACATTTCCTGCTCTCTTCCGTCAAATGAACCATGCAATTTCTTATTTATTTTACGTTTGTTTAATTATGGGGAATGATTATGTTAAGAGGTGGTTAACCTGTTTATGTTTGGGTCGGATTCTTTTGTTGAAATGTGGTTTTGAGTTGATTGTGTAACCTGTTGACGGTGAGCCTGTGGGAGGGGCTATGGGGTCAAAAGGGACGGTGTTCCTTGTATTTTTTCGGACTGTGTCACTCGGAAGAATGTTGCAATGATGAAGGCAACAGTTGGGACATGTTTGGGAGTTGGTTGCAGAGAAGGCAACCCAGAGCATGTTTACTCTAATGAGTGATGGACGGCCTGTTTGTGGATTTTATTTTGTTGTAACTTGTTCCGGCTTCGTTATTTTGTTTTTTTTGTTGCTGATATAAATAACGTTTTTTTGGAGCTTAAACAACCGACTAAGCCATGTATCGAATGGACGAATTGAACCCCGTCACATATGGTGTCAGAAGTGGGATGGCTAGTCGGAGGAAGCTGGGCGGCGTTGCGGAGCGGCGAACGGGACTACGATCCCGGCGTCAGCAGCAGGAGGAGAGCGCGGCTGCCGGGTCGGAGCGGGCATGGGAGACGGAGAACGAGGATGAGGACGGGTCCTGGGTGGGCCCAGCGGCTCCTGCGGCCTCGGCCAGTGGACCAGGGCGAGAGGGGTTCCTGTTGGCGGAGCTTCGGAACCTACGGACTTCTGTTTCGGTTGGTGATCCGTATCTTCGGTCAGACTCCGATGGCCGGCCTGGTCGGCCGGCGCCTGGGTGGAGGCACTGTGCGGTGCGGAGATTCCACAGTGCCAGTGCGGTGAGGACATGCAAACTGTTTGTTGCGGTTTGGGACGCATTGCCAAAGCGTGGAGGTGGCTGTTTGCTTTTCCAGGTTGCCGCACATCGCCAACCTTGGGGAGGGAGAGGATAATGTGACGGAGCGGGTCACAGAGTGACTGACTCCGCCACTGACAGCCGACACACACCACACACACACCAAATATTTCCTGCTCTCTTCCGTCAAATGAACCATGCAATTTCTTATTTATTTTACGTTTGTTTAATTATGGGGAATGATTATGTTAAGAGGTGGTTAACTTGTTTATGTTTGGGTCGGATTCTTTTGTTGAAATGTGGTTTTGAGTTGATTGTGTCACCTGTTGACGGTGAGCCTGTGGGAGGGGCTATGGGGTTAAAAGGGACGGTGTTGGTTCCTTGTATTTTTTCGGACTGTGTCACTCGGAAGAATGTTGCAATGATGAAGGCAACAGTTGGGACATGTTTGGGAGTTGGTTGCAGAGAAGGCAACCCAGAGCATGTTTACTCTAATGAGTGATGGACGGCCTGTTTGTGGATTTTATTTTGTTGTAACTTGTGATGGTTCGCTATTTTTTTTGTTTGTTGCTGATATAAATAACGTTTTTTTTGGAGCTTAAACAACCGACTAAGCCATGTATCGAATGGACGAATTGAACC